GTATTTTTTTAAATTTTTAATAACTATGGGATTAGAAGAAGCTTTTCACTACAGCTTTAACATATTCAGTAACACATTCCAGAGCAAGAGTACATCACTTTCACAAGTGGGTGCAAGTTTCTAGGTTCACAGTTGAATTAATATAGTTATATATTATTGAACTCAATATAAGCCCTGTAAGACATAAAATTGAATGAGTTTTTAACCTTTAAAAAATATCTCCATTTCATTTTAGAATATATTGTTCCTTGCAGAAAGACTCATTGTTTTTGCTACTAACAGAGATGTTGGCACTTGGATTTCTACTCTTTATATATCTGATTGTTACTAGTCATAATCGGTTGCGCTTGGATCCTTGGTGCCTGTGTATGTCTATGAAGTCATTGGGTAGATTTCAATGGTAATGTTTATCACCTCTACTAATTAGCATGATGTAAATTTCCATGCTTCCTCCTCAAATACAATACATTTTTTAAAAATTTGATTTTTTTTTGTGTGTATATCACACAGAACATCCCAAACCATCTTATTCAACTATACACCCACTTCCCAGATGGCACCCTCCCATAGCCTCCCTCCCCCCACTAGAGCCCTTATACTCTGATATCCCTGCTACTGTCTGCTGTGTTGTCGGCCCCCCCAGCCATTCCCCACTACTTGCCCTTCTGGTGAATCTAGTCAGCCTCTCTAGAGGTCTTTGTTTTAGGAGGGTCAGCTGTTCCTCATCTAACAGCAATCAGTTGTCAATATTCCTTTAGATAAGATTGGGGTCTGCTGTTCATTTTCCCAGTTCTATGCTGGGTTACTACCTGGGAGTCCCTTTGGCTACCGTGGCCAACAACTCAAAAGAAGGTATCTCCTGTCTGGCGTTGTTGCTTGTTGTGTAGCCTTTAGCTATGCATATGGACTCTTAAGAAATTATATTGGCCCCTTTAATCTTTGGTTATACTTTCCTTTTGGGTGTTTAAGGCCATACAGTTGGCCCAGATAAACCAATTTATTTTTACTCTTAAGGTCATTTGAGGATCCGTTCCTCAGGGGTCACATGGACTTGGGAGGAGCCCCTGGCTCCTTTCTCTTACCAGTTCTGTCTATGTGAAGATAAATCAAAGGTCCTGCTTGATCATGGTTGGCTTTGCTTGGAAGCCTGGAGGAAATGATGCCTCTGTGTTGACCCTCTTTGTAGACTGGACACTCCTACAACCTACTGACAAATTATACATAGCAGATCAAGAAATATATGTTTAGGTAAGGTTTATCTGAGAACAACTGGTCTTTGCCCAAGATTTATCTACATGATACACAGTGATTAAAAGTACCAGACTGGTAGAACTAACGTTCTTGGATGTTTAACAGACATACTTTGAGGCCTATACTAATTTGGTCAGAGGGACGTAAAGGACAGTTTTTGCTCCTTGCCCTCCTAGGTCGACTAGTTCCAGGGGACTATGAGCATCTCTCAAAATGTCTTGTAATGGTGGTAGGTCACCTGTCCTCTTGATCAAGGAGACCAAGGAGGCCCCACCAGATGGACTTGGACCAGTGTCCAGTCTACAAAGAGGAGGATTTTTTTAAACACATGGAGAATACAATCCAACTCATTATAAAATCAAACTATGATTACATTCTACAGTGACTCTGGTTAATTTCAGATATACTTGGTGCTCTGGGTTTTGTTTCAATAAAAAAAATCACAGTATTTTACAGTTACAGATACATATGCACATTTATTTGTATAAAGTAGATCTAGACACTGAGCCATGGGGGCAGGAACCTAGTGTCACAGTTACTAGTGTGAGGGGTGCAGAGGCCCTGGTCTGGGTCTTTTGCTTTGCAGCTGAAGAAATCCTGCTTACAGAGTTTCACAGCTCACTGTGGCCTGGCCTAGAATGACATATTCTGACAGGGAGTCTACCGTTTTTTTCTATCAAACATTTTTACTGAAAGAGAGTCAGGACACAATGGAAAAGGACCCAGACCTAGGCTCTAAGACGGCCCCTGCTGTAAACTAGATGGGCAGCACCTAGCAACCCACAGTATCTATCTGTTCTGCATTTTTAAACTGGCGGAAGTGAACCAAATGAATTCTGGAGGATCTTATGGCTCTCAGCTAAATCTACAGAAGCTCAAAAGGAACATATACATATATATACATGAAAATAGTCATTGTTTTTGTTTTGTTTTGTTTTTGTTTTTGTTTTTTTTGGTCATTTTGAGATAGGGTCTCCCTGTAGCCCCAGCTGTCCTGGAACTTACTATGTAGAACAGGCTGGACTTAAACTCACAGAGATCTGCCTGCCTCTGCCTCCCGAGTGCTGGGATTAAAGGCGTGCACCACCAAGCCCGGCAGAAAATAGTCATTGTTTTAAATCCTTGGAGTTTCTGTGGTGGGCACTGATGGGTAAGTCCTAATATTTAAAATATCTAAGCAGTGTGTGGTGGCTCATGCTTATAACCCAACTGTGGGAAGGTGGAGGCAGGAGGATGACTGTGAGTTTGA